ATTTGTTGAAGAAATTAATGAGTGCATGGGTCAATCAATCTCTTCTCCCTGAAAACCCTTATGACTTAGAACTCGAGAACACACTTGATTGTTTTAAGTTCAAAACTAAAATGATTACATGGAGAAAGCAAATGAATATTGATGGTCCAAAGTTAACTAGTCTTCTAGATTTCCTAGATAGATATTTATTCAAATGTATGAAATAATGTAGGTAGAAAGCTGTTCATTTCCATTTTATTTGAAGTGGCAAAGCCTGGAAATAATGTTACTACCCATCAACAGGGACAGGCTAAATAAATCCTGCTACATTATGCAATAAAATATTAAGCCATTTAAAAAAAAGAGGAAGCTCCTTGCCTATTAATGTGAAATGATTGAGAAGATATGTTAAGGGGAAAAAAAAAGCAAGCAAAATAAAGACCAGGGTCCATGGTGCACTACTGGTCGGTTAAGTGGGGGGAGGGGGGGGCCAAAATGTTCATACCTATTTGGTGTATGTGCATAAAATATTTCTGAATGGTCACAAAAGAACTGGAACATTGGTGGACTGGAGTTGGGTGCCATGAGGGACAGGATGCCCTTTTTTAATTTCTGAATTTTGGACCAAGTGAACATCTTACCTATTTTAATTAACTCATTAATTAAAATGAAATTAACTTTAATTTTTTTTTAAAGATTTTATTTATTTATTTGACAGAGAGAGGCACAGCGAGAGAGGGAACACAAGCAGGGGGAGTGGGAGAGGGAGAAGCAGGCTTCCCGCTGAGCGGGGAGCCCAATGTGGGGCTCGATCCCAGGACCCTGGGATCATGACCTGAGCCGAAGGCAGATGCTTAACGACTGAGCCACCCAGGCGTCCCTGAAATTAACTTTTAAAAAAATGGATCTTCTACACATTATGCAATGCTGATCTAACAGCCATTTAAAAATAAAATGAGGGGCGCCTGGGTGGCTCAGTCCGTTAAGCGACTGCCTTCTGCTCAGGTCATGATCCTGGAGTCCCTGGATTGAGTCCCGCATCGGGCTCCCTGCTTGGCAGGGAGTCTGCTTCTCCCTCTGACCCTCCCCCCTCTCATGAGCTCTCTTTCTCTCTCATTCTGTCTCAAATAAATAAATAAAATCTTTAAAAAATAAAAAAATAAAAATAAAACGAAACTGACACCCTGAAATAGCGTTTTAATTTTTTCTTTTTACTGTTTATTCTAGATCATGCTGGTATAGTTAATCTCATTAACAATTCATGACCTTTTGAATTTTGGGTACTGTTTGTATATGTTAAGTACTGAATTTATTTTTCAAAATGGATTACTTTTATAATAAGAAAACAATTAGAGTTAATTCTGTCTGCCTGAGTCATTCCCCACCACCAGTAAAATGACTGTATTCAAAATCTGGACTGGCTTATTTTAGATTTCTTTAGTTTATTTAGTTCATTGGACTTTTTGTGGGATACACAAAAGTCCAAGAAGCTGTTTTATGTCATTTTTATTTTTGTTGTTAACTTCTTATTCGAGTATAAGATACATTCAAAAAACAGTACATATGTTGTAAGTGTACAGCTTAGTGAATATTCATAAGCTGAACACAAGTGCATAGCGCTAAGGTAAAAAAATAGACTATTATCAGCATCCCAAAAGTACCCCATTCCCTCCTCATCACTCTGCCCTCCCCCTCGGGTAATCAATAATGTGACTTCTAAGAGGATGGCTTAGTTTTGCCTGGTTTTGTACATCATGTAACTATAATCTTACAGGGTTGCCCTTTTGTGTCTGGCTTCTCTAACTCAACACTGTTTGTGAGCTTCATCCGTATCGTCGCATGTGGTTATAAGTGAACTATTTCGCATTGGGTACAGCACTCCCTTGTTTAACTATGTCACAATTCATTGATCTATTCTATCGCTGATGGGCGTTTGAGTACTTTTCAGTTTGGGCCATTTATGAACAGTCCTGTAAAGGTCTTTTGAGGAATGCTCACACGTTTCCACCAGGAGTAGAACTGCTGGACAGAGATACGTGCAGCTCTAAAAGACACTGGCCAAACATTGTTTTCTAAACAGTTGTGCCGATTTATGCTCCCACCAGCAGCAATGAGAGTTCCAGTCAGTCCCCAACATCTCATATTTTCCATTTCAGCTCTTCTGGTGCATGTGTATGGTATCATTGGAAGCAGGTTTCTGAAAGTACCAGATTTTTTCCAAAATTCTTTAAGCTGGGTAAGTTATAAAAAAGTTGAGGTGGAGAAGTGGAATTTAGAGAGAACCTCATTTTTTTTATGGATGCCCTTTTTTACTCTTTGGGGTTCTTTTTATACGCCTATGTTAAGTTGAAAAATATATATGTTCCTATATTCTTGAGGTTCAGAAGCTGGTGGGTGATGCCAATTTTGCTATTTAGAAATATGTTATTATTTTTCTATATCAACTGAGGGCTGTGTACTGGTAAGAATCTTAAAATAGACTAAAGTCAAGTACCAGTTGACTCCAAAGAAGGTGTTTGAAACACTGTATGAATGAAACATTTAAAGGTTTATCGAATGAATAAATGGGGTTTTAAGTAGAGCAAAGCACCGGCAGAAAACAGAATGACAACCTCCGTTTGAAGGTTATAAAACTGAAGATTCAGGGTGGATCTCCAGCTCTAACCCTCCTTCTTCTCTTCAGGATTTACTTAACCCCAAACAGCTTTGTAAGAGGCCAAAGCCTTCAGTGTTATGACCTCGGTCATCTCATTGCTCTAGCAGAGAACAGAGAACATGGGCAGCCTCCCAAGAACAGCTATTACAGAATTCACTCCCCAGGTGGTATGCAAGTGAACTTAGTCCTTTGGGAATGGGGCAAAGGAAGTTTAGAAGTCACACTGATAACTGCTCTAGCTTTCTGACCTCATAGTTCTTGAGTGCAAAGTGAGGGTGCCTACCTCACAGAGTTGTGAGGGGTAAACAATACTGTGTATGTAAAAGGCCTAATAGAGTGCCTCGCACATAGTAAACAGTGAACTGTGGATATTATTATTTATTGTGGAACTACTAGGTGACTGAATTCTGTTTAATGGCCCTAACTGGGATGGGGGTGGGGAGGTATGATAGCAAACTGAGAAGCTGTGGAAAAAACAAAAATATTTCAACTGCCCATAAATTATTTTGGAAAAGTTGGAGGTGGACAAGTGTTTAAATAACTAAAACTTCCTATATTTAAATACAAATCCTTATCCATACATGTAATACACTTAGGTATGCATAGAGTTCCTCTGGAAGACTAGGGAATAATGGTTACCTCCGGGAGGACTTGTACTGGGAGGAGCAGCTGGGGAAAGACTTTTTAAAATTTTGCCATGTGTCTATATTATCTACTAAAAATTCACAATTCATTTTTAAATTAAATGCTAATGTTTTAAAATCTCTCTTAAGTTTTGCTAAATTTGGAACGCTGAAATTGAGAACGTCTGCGTTCAGCTTTTACTGTCAGAGCCCTGATACCACCCCCTAGCGCCTGGTACTCACCACTACATCTACTCCCAGCCGCCACAGCTGTTCCGAAGCTGTTCTTTTCTCCAATACTCATCAGGGTACAACTATAAGTATTCAGTGCATTAACTAAACTATTAGCTACTCAGACAGTCCATGCTTTAATGGTCGAAAAAGCATTGGGAAGGATGACATTACCTCATGCCTCATTCTTGCTGGGCAACTGAAACATTACATTATTTAAATTACAATATATGCATCCATCATTCTTACATTTTTTTTTTCCATTTTCAACTTGACAGTTATCACAACCAAAAGGACTTTTCTACTTTCTCAGTTGTATCTCGAGTGCACATCATCTTAAAAACTAAATTTCTATTAATTCATCATTTGCTACAGTAATTTCCTTCTTTGCATATGTTGAAATGGAAGCTATTGTTGCACATACAAAATTTCCTTGTGTGCTTTTGTTTGGGTAAAAGGTTCTGAACTCTGTTTCAAGATTTCTAGTTGTCCTCTAGGATACTTACTGTCATGTTGTAGATTTTTTAAAGTAATGTTTTTTATTATTTTAAAATCTGTGTGTTCTCATTGTAAACATATTTTGGAAAATACAGTAAAATATAATGAATGAAGGAAGAGCAAACCCGAATTCCACCATCGTCAGATAATTACTATTAACATTTCCAACTATTTCCTTCCAGTTTTTCTGATGCCTATAGGTTTTTACACACAGTTTTTGAACTGAATTTTGAAGTGTCTAAGGTGTATTTCCACTATGATATATAGATGTTAGAAGTCTGTCCTGGTTAAATATTGCAAAGCTATTCTTACAAGAAACTACTGTGTTATTAGAAACTGCACCGCATTTTGGGGTATAAGGGCAGATGGTCATTTTGAACATACCCACTAATTCAGAGTTCCTATCAGACCCTTCTGTAAATGCTACATTTGCATTTTGTTGCGTAACTACTGGATGTATTTCACGGCGATCACACTTCAGACTGAAGTTCTTTCAGGGCATCGCATCCTCATTCAATAACCTTGTATCCTGGCCTTTGACAAATATTTGTGCATGAATGGAATTCTTAGGGGCCTCCTCTGGTGTCTGAAGTGGGTAATGTCCAGACAAGAGAGAGGTAAATCAGGGTCGGGGCCCCTTTATGCGGTGGGGGAGCTGGGGTGGGGAGGTGCCGTGCATAGGTAAGGTAGAAACCTGAGCGAGTGGCAACCTCATTATTATTTTTTCTTATTTTACTTGTCTTGTGTGTTCACCGATTTGAGAGGACAGTCTCAATCATCTCCGCAGGGCAATTGCCCAACTAGCCGCCAGGCCTCAATAAAAAACGCTGGGGAGGCGTGTTCCCACGCAAGGCCCGTGTTGGACGGGCTAAGGCTGGAGAAACCCACCCCGCGCTCAGCACACAGTATAAAGAGCCTGCCCACCGCGGTGGGGCAGCTCCCGGATTCGCGCGGGGTAACGCACCGTTCGTCGGTCCGCATCCGTGCCTAGCATCCGTCTGGACACCTCGAAGATGGCACCCGTTGGGGGCAAAAAGACCAAGAGGGTGAGTCTGCGGGGGGAACCCGAGGGCGTTCTCCATCTCTGCGGGGGCTCTAAGTCTCGGCCCACCGGCCCCATACCCCAGCCTCAGGAAGTGCAGAGGGGTCCTCGGAGCCCGGCTGTGACCAGAGGTGCTCCCATAACTTCTCGGCAGGACTCCAAGGTGCCTCTGAGCTCCCCCCAACACCCCTGCCCATAGCCCGAGCGCGCCCTAGATCTACGTGACCCCGGACTCGAGGACACCCCCAGAACTCCAAGACTCCCAACATCTTCTGAGTCCCGCATCCCAACACGAGAGCACTCCCAGAGAAGTGCGGCTCCTAGACCCAAATGCACGACGTTTCTCCCCCACAGCGGGGGGACTAGGGGCCTCCTTAGGGCGCGCCCCAGCCACCCCGCGTCTGTGCCTGCGCTGCCATGCGCGCCCCTTTGCGCCCTCCGCGGGCCGGCCAGGGAGGCGCGCGGCCCGGGCTCCGACCGTTTCCCGCCCCCGCCCCGACGGGTGCCGCGGAATCCCGGGGCCGCCTCCCTGCCGGGTGCTTGCGTGCAAGCTTCCCGGTCCCGCCGCAGCAACAAGGCTAACGCGTTGGTTGGGCCATGGTAAGTTTTCGCCCACAGTTTGGTTTCTGCGATCACAACAAAATGTACCATTCAATCCGGCGGGGGTGAACGGGCCCAGGGGCTGTAAGATATTGAATTAAGGGCTGTTAATAAGATTTAAAAACCAAAAACCCAGCAGCTCCAGCACCTGATTAATGACACTCATATCTCTTCCCTAGTTGGGATGAGTGTTTCAATCCAGACTAGATTGGGGGGTGGATGGATGGACGGAAGGATGTATAGATGGATGGAGCAGACAGACAGACTGACCGCCAGACTATGGTTGGGTTGGTGGGAAAAGAGGCACGGAGGGAGGAGGGAATATACTTGACCCCGGGGTGTCAAAGTGCCCTGCCCCCGCCTGGCTGACAGAGGCCCCCAGGGAGACAGCCGGGGTCAAGGCCAACTGTAAGGACTGCTTATCCATAGAACAGGAAGACTAGCTTTCACCATTCTAAGAATGTGTGCTTGAGTATTCATTTGAAGCTTTACAATAAAACCTTTTCCTTCTCTAAATAGATAAATTAAAAAATCTTTTTTAAAAATTAAAATTTTAAATTCTTTAATGTGTTCTGAAAAACCCTCACCCCCAGCACATGTATACACACATTTTCATTATGTGAAATGAAAATGGAAATTCTGATTGTTTGCCTTATAGTCATGAATTTATAAATACATGTACTTTCTGAGAATTCTAAAGAAATCATACGTCTCAAGAATATGATAGCAAAAGTACTAAAAATAGAAAATTGTCTTAAAAACTGAAGTAACTCCTTTCCTTCCCCCTCATCTATAATTTTAGGGCATCCTAGAACGTTTAAACTCTGGAGAAGTTGTGATTGGAGATGGAGGGTTTGTCTTTGCACTCGAGAAGAGGGGCTACGTGAAGGCAGGCCCCTGGACCCCAGAAGCTGCTGTGGAACATCCAGAAGCAGGTTGGTGCATAGCTCTATTCTAAGTTCTCATGAAAGAGCACTGCAGTGATGGCCTAGGAGCATACTATCAAACAGATACATTTATGGTACATTTCCCAACATCTATTATTGCCTGCTGGGCACTGTGCTAGGTATGTAAGGACAGATTCACATGTTGGATGATCACAGTTTATTTTTCATAAGAGTTTTTCAGTTTATTCATAAGAGACAGAGAGAGAGAGGCAGAGGCAGAGGGAGTGCCCAAGTCACATTTTTTAAAGTTTTTTAAAGTTATACAATGGAGGAGCTCAAGAGAAACTGCTCTGATATTGCTTTTGACTTTCTTAATACAGAAACAGCACGTTTATCTCCTGGCCATCTGTTTCTTGAGAATTTGGGGCTTATTTGAGTGCACTAATTCTCCTACTAAAGTCAATGCCAGAAGTTGTGGTTCTTGCACCCAGTGGAATCAGCATAGAATTCAGCAAAGAATTAAGGTTGCTGGATCTGGGAGGCGGGGTTTGGGGGAATCTGAATTCATATTCATTGCCCCCAGGTGAGTCTAAGTTGGGTCACACTTGAGAAGCACTGCAGCTTTAAGAAGCATGGTAGAACAATCAAATCGATTAAGATCAAGGGGTTGGGCCGCTACCCTCTAGGAAAATCTAATAAAAGGGTGTAAAATGCCATGTAAAACGTACATATGCACAATTTGCACACCATTCCAGGGTTTTTTTAACAGTCTCTGGAAATCCACCCAAGGACCAGCTGGGTGGACTTCCTGTTTAGAAACCATTTCCTCCTAGTGTATGGGGACCTCATCGATAGGCCCTTCGTACTAATCCAACCACTGAAGCTCTGTGTTTGATCGATGAACAGGGGCTCCAAATAAAATGTCTTTAATTGGTTCTGTTGCTAATTAAAACATGTCTGAAGCTTCCTCATTAGGCATGCTTTTAAGTTCCCTCTCAGAACTAGAGATTCCACGCTTAGAAACCCATTTTCTGGGGCGCCTGGCTGGCTCAGTCATTAAGCGTCTGCCTTTGGCTCAGGTCATGATCCCAGGATCCTGGGATCGAGCCCCGCTTCAGGTTCCCTGCTCTGCGGGAGGCCTGCTTCTCCCTCTCCCCTTCCCCCTGCTTGTGTTCCCTCTCTCGCTGTCAAATAAATAAATAAAATCTTAAAAAAAAAAAAAAGAAAGAAACCCATGTTCTGAAATTCAGATGAATCCTGGCCTCACTGATTTGTTCATTTAAAAACCACACTGAGCTTCCTATGTTCTCTGCATTGTACTAGGCCTCCGGGATGCAAAGGTACCAGACGAAAGGGCTAGGAACTCCAGTGTCCTAAAAATTTCCAAGCCTCTAATGTAGTCACTCCTAGATCTTTGGCTTTGAAAGGCCACTAAAATTTCAAAATAGATTTCAGGGGCTGATACAGGATTGCTGATTTCTTACTTTGTGCAGTTAATTCTCCTGACAAAAATGAACACCTGCTAAGTCTCCCTAGCATTTTATAAAAAGAGCATTTTCCCCAGTCACTCGGAATGGTGGTTCTCAGCAAAATGGAAGATAAAAATCAGCTTCCAACTAAATTAGAATATCTGTGGACTTGACCCCAGCATCCATTATTTTTAAAAAAGCTTACAGGGTGTCTAATGGGCCACCAGAGTTTAGGACCACTATTTTAGAGCAAAGGATAATCCCTTACATTGAATATAATTGGTTATATGGGGGGGAAATGCCCCATCATATTTTCTTTAGCCTGTGAAAACTTTGCTATTTGTTTTTTGTTTTGTTTTGTTTTTTAAAGATTTTATTTATTTATTCATGAGAGACAGAGAGAGAGAGAGAGGCAGAGGGAGAAGCAGGCTCCCAAGGAGCAGGGAGCCCGATGCGGGACCCAATCCCAGGACCCTGGGATCATGACCCGAGCCAAAGGCAGACGCTTAACCATCTGAGCCACCCAGGCGCCCGAAAACTTTGCTATTTGACACTCATCCATGGACCTATGCTTAGGAGCCTTGTTCTAGTTCTTATTCCACTCTACTACCAAAATTATCTTTCAAATACACAGAGCTAATCACATCATTTAACTGTTTACGAAATGCTGCTGTTTCCCCATACCTGTGGTCTGAAGCCTAGACTCCTTGAGATGATGTGCTAGGGCCACTTGCACTCTGCAGCCCAGCCTCCTCTCCAACTGCATCTCCTACTACTTCTCTGATACATCCTCAACTCCACCTGCGGCACCCCCAAATGCCAAGCCTATTCCTGCCTCCTTCTTTTTGTTCAAACCCTTCCCTCAGTAGGGAATGCTTTTCCCCACCTTCTCTGCCCAACAAAAATGTTGAATGATTCCTCCCCTGTGGACCTCCCTCTTCCCTTCGCCCCACATCCACGGTAGAAATAATCTCTTCTCCGTAGCAAGAGCCCCCAGATCTACCTCTCATTCGCTCTCAGGATGCGCTCGTGCCAAGCAAAGAATGCAAGCAGATATTTTCATATCTGTTTATCTGGTAGTCTTTTGAAAGCATCAAGGGTTATAAACTGATAGTAATTAATACCTTTCCTCATTCAATCTCCCAGTTCGCCAGCTTCATCGAGAGTTCCTCAGAGCTGGATCCAATGTCATGCAAACCTTCACCTTTTATGCAAGTGAAGACAAACTGGAGAACAGGGGAAACTATGTTGCAGAGAAAATATCTGTGAGTAAAGCCATACCTGGCATTCTTAGAAGGGCACAGTAGACACACATGTCATCACCAAAGCTCTCATAGAGAAAAATGTTGAGTTTTTAGATACTACAGAAATGCGATATGTGTGATACAGGATTGCTGATTTCTTATGTTGTGCAGTTAATTCTCCTGACAAAAACGAACACCTGCTAAATCTCACTAGCGTTTTATAAAAAGAAACTTTTCCCACTCAGAATGTAGTTTTTAGATAATATAGAAATATGTATGAATAACTCTTTTATTTTATTTTATTATGTTATGTTAATCACCATACATTACTGTGTGAATAACTCTTTGAGGTTTTAGCTGGAGTCCCCAAAATTGACAGAAAGGCATTTAATGAAGCATATCAAAGAAGATGTAGTTAATGATTAATGATTCTCCCAGTCTCCTAAGTTGCTGAGTGGGTATCCTTACGAATTCTTACATCCTTACAGTTTTTTAATGTGGGACAATGTAGGAGAAAGGTCAAAGGCACAAGGAAGGGCACAGTGACCCTGGAAACTTCCTGACTCAGCTATCAACTGTGTCATGTTGGGCAAACCATTTACCTATGCCGTCAAAGTGACAATTTCTCAATCCCTATAATGAAAAAGTTTTGTTTTTTGTTTTGTTTGTTGTTTTGTTTTTTTTTAAAGTGGGCTCCACGCGTAGCATGAAACCCAACGCAGGGCTTGAGTTCACAACCATGAGATTGAGACCTGAGCTGAGATCAGGAGTCAGATGCTTAACTGACTGAGCCACCCAGGCACCACAAAACAAGAAGTTCTAAAATTCCCTAAGTCTGTGTGAGCTACAGCACTGGGGTTTATTGAAGACAAGTGTCAATTTTTAATGTCTAAGTAATTAGAAAATACCATGCGATACATTTATCCTTTAAGAAAATACATAATGACAGTGCTCGCTTCGGCAGCACATATACTAAGAAAATACATAATGACAAAAATTCATGAATTCTGTAGTCATTTTAATTACAGTTTATTCTTGTTGATCTTAAGAGCAAATCATCATCATCACCACCACTATTTGCTAGGTATTTTTCTAAGTGCAGCTTAGGCACTGGAAGGTACCAGATCCTTTTATGTAAAGATTTTTATTCTCTCACAGAGCTTTGGTATGTAATATCCTAGATACCATCATTAGATTTAGTGTTTTCATTACTATTATTGGTGGTGGTGTTACTGCAAATTGCTCAGCTTGGTAAATTGAACTATTCTATCACTGTCATCTTCTAGAATAATCTCTCTACGGTAACAGCCAACTGAAATGTGGACATTTGAATAATAATTTGGTTTCAATTCTGCGTGAAAATATAGATATATCCTATTTCACCCATTTTAGGGGCAGAAAGTCAATGAAGCTGCTTGTGACATTGCCCGGCAAGTGGCTGATGAGGGAGACGCTTTGGTGGCAGGAGGCGTGAGTCAAACACCTTCATACCTTAGTTGCAAGAGTGAAACTGAAGTTAAAAAAGTATTTCAGCAACAGTTAGAGGTCTTTATGAAGAAGAACGTGGACTTCTTGATTGCCGAGGTAAACAAAGATGTGACCAAAGATGAGACATACGCACTTAGTACATTTTCTCTACCTTGTGCTTTCATGAGGAGGATGTGAAATTAGTTGCCAGTCATGGCTAGTAAATATTTAGTTTTAAAATCTTTTTTCCAATTTAGGGCTTCTACTGAATTTGATTCAGTTAATCTAATGAAGTGTTCTTCAAACCTTTTGACTGCAGTTCACAGTAATCACCCTTCTATTCCATTAAAAAAAAAATGCTAATGGGTCACAACTCAAAGTTTGAAGACCACTCATCTAGTGATCATTTTTAAGCACTAAAATAAGTTTTCTAATCATCTGGGAGAAACAAGATAAAAAAAGTATCTTAACCTGATCTCATTTCAGTATTTCGAGCATGTTGAAGAGGCTGTGTGGGCAGTGGAAGCCTTGAAAACATCTGGGAAACCTGTGGCAGCAACCATGTGCATCGGCCCAGAGGGAGATTTGCATGGCGTGAGCCCTGGCGAATGTGCAGTGCGCCTGGTTAAAGCAGGTGATAATGGATTTTGACCGGTTTGCCGTTAGTGAGTCTTTTAAAACTACGTACAAATGCAGGTCCACCTATGAATCATTATATACTACTTTTGTTAAAGGAAAACCATTAATGTGCTTTCCTAGGAGTATTGATAATATCATTATTGACTCCTAAAGAGAAAAAAGTAAAATAAAGAAAAAATATATATACACACACATATACCAGCCTTTTGAAAGGGGCAACTGGACCTATGCTGAAGGTGTAACACCTAGAAATGGGAAGAATTTCAGTAAATCAAAAGGAGCATGAGGAAAAAGTGTGTTTTATTTTAGCCTTAAGTTGAGGTCTTTAGACAATAACTTTTAAGTCAGTTGCCTTCTTTGCCAAAGTTCTTCCCTTTTCATAAATTCCTGATATGCTTTGCTTTTTGTAACTGGTATAATAAATTTAAAATTTTTTTCGGTATGAAATAGGGGCCATGTAATTTGTCTTTTTAAATAATTTCCATTCCTAACATGGGGTTTCATTTCAATTAGGGAAAACTCACAGACTGTTTTCAAAGCTGCCTCATTTTTATTTATTTTTTATTTTTTTAAAGATTTTATTTATTTGAGAGAGAATGAGAGAAAGAGAAAGAACATGAGAGGGGGAAGGGTCAGAGGGAGAAGCAGACTCCCTGCCGAGCAGGGAGCCCGATGCAGGACTCGATCCTGGGACTCCAGGATCATGACCTGAGCCGAAGGCAGTCGCTTAACCAACTGAGCCACCCAGGCGCCCAAAGCTGCCTCATTTTTAATTCAAAGAGCTGCTCAGTGTCAGTGGAAGAGTCCAACTCATTCTGTGGAACAGGGAGATTTTGATTGGCTATGTTTAATTTCTGATTGTTAGCCAACTCCTGATATTTCATGAAAGTCACTGAATATTTGTCCTTAACAGTAACAATTAAATTTAGGAATGAAACTAAATAATCCTAACTTTTTACTGGAAATATAAAAATGGGGGGAGGGAAGAAGCAAGTTAACTTGTTTCAGGAAGATCAGAGGAGGCTTTCATCACCCCATTGTTAACCAGCAGAGATTCTTGGCCTGCATCGAGTTATTCCCTGACCATTCCATTCAAGGTAGGTGGCCACAGTGTTTGACATCACTACACGCTATTTATATTCTTTGTAGCGCTTGCCGCTTGTCTCATTTGTTTATCTCTTTAATGTCTGACTCACTAGACTGTAAGATCAAAGAGGGCAGAGACTATGTTTGTTTGGCTCAACTTTGAGTGCCCTGTGCCCTAGCGCAGCACTTGGCACAAAATAGGTCCTCAATAAATATCCGCCTAATAAATCTCGTCCATCTTCCAATGTCAGTTCAAATTCTACCTCCACGTCCCCTTACATGATCCTCCCTACCCCAAGTGAACACGCCTTCCTCTCAGCAAATGTAAGATTTTCTACTTATACCACTCATTTGGAATATCCTCAGTCGACATTTTCTAATCTGTGAGAATGTTAGTAGAACGTTCCGTAGTGAAATACATTTAGAAAATTCTGTGTTAGGGGCCCCTGGGTGGCACAGTCCTGTAGGCATCCAACTGTTGGTTTTGGCTTAGGGTCATGAGATGGAGCCCCACATCAGGCTGAGATTCTCTCTCCTTCTCCCTTTGTTCCTCCTGCTCATGTGCGCTCTCTCTCAAATAAATAAATAAATCTTAAAAAAAGAAAGAAAGAAAATGCTGTATTAAACCAAGTTAAGCAGGTCTCTTTACAACAGAATTTCTCAGAGCCTTAGTGCTCACTTAGGCTGCACATATACTAAAATTGGAACAATACACAGAATTTCTCAGGCCTGACAGGTTTGTATATATTGACAGTCTCCAAAAAAGGGACAAAGTAAATACCTACTTCCTAACTTAATTGATCATAGAACCTTACTTTCATGGAGCAAACCTAGGGAAGCCCTGTGCTAAATAATGAAGTCCTTGGTGTCAGGGACTATGTCTTATATTTTTATTTTTCTATAGCCCCTTAGAAGGACCCTTATACCTAATAGACATCCAGTAAGTAGCCAACCTATGATTAATTCATTATTGTAATGAAGTCAAGCAAGGAAAGAGAAACGCTGGCAGAACATCCAAAAAATTAAAAAAAAAAGGGGGGGGGGAAGGAGAAGAAGAAAGAAAAAGGTAGTCAAGATCCAAGTGAAGATGTTAACTGAGCTGTTGAATGTACAAGTCTGGGACCCAAAGGAAAGGTCCGGGTTAGAGAGAGAAGTCTGGAGAGTTCTTGATATAGTTCATACTGAGAGCCCTGAGACTGGAAAGGAAGTAGAGGTGAAGAAGAGAAGATGGCTCACGGGAATCCTGTGACACTGCAGGATTGAAAGGTTCGGTCGTGAGTGGGGGCTCAGCACCTAACATCCAAAGAAAGCAGCCAGCAAGGTGGGAGCAACACTCAGAGAGCATGAGAAGCCAAGAGAAGGGGAGTGTTGATGAAGGAAGGGATGGTCCAGCAGATTGAATGCTGCCAAGACGTGGAGTAAGATGAGAACAAAGAATCAGCTACTGGCTTTGGCAAGATTGAGGTCATTGGTGCTCTTGACCCAAAAAAACAAAACAAAACAAAACAAAACAACCCAACAACAACAAGAAAAAACCTGATTCAGAAGAATAACAGGAGGCAGGATTGGAACAAGAACAAAGGAGCAAACTGTACACCCAGCCCAGTGAGGACCACTGAGACGCTTGCCACTGAATCTGGATTGGTGATATTATTAAATTGGCCTGCTAAAAGGAAACATTGTTCCTCAAATGAGTGGTATGATAACCACAGGTGCAACTGAGCAGCTGGGAGTGCTGAAAAATTAGTATGAAAGACTGAAAAATTGACTTCTAAATTATGGAGTTAAAAAAAACTCTAATAATGAGTTTCTGGAAAAAAGAGGGACAGCCAAGTGTGCATAAATGACACTAACATTGTAACAGATTCTTCAAAACACCTTTCACAGAAAGCCCTTGCTGCCTATTAGCAATCACTCCCACCCAAAGGTAAGATAGGTTTGCAAGGAAGCAAGAACCAAAGGTTGTATTCACAATTCACTGTTCCAAATAAAAGCTCCCTGATTAAGGGAGGAGAACTGAGCCTACCTATCTGATGAATCCCTAAAGCTAAATTGTTCTTCCACTTGCAGGAGCTTCCATCGTTGGCGTGAACTGCCATTTTGATCCCAAAATTAGTTTACAAACAGTGAAGCTCATGAAAGAAGGCTTGGAGGCTGCCCGACTGAAAGCCCACCTGATGAGTCAGCCATTGGCCTACCACACTCCTGACTGCAACAAACAGGGATTCATCGATCTACCGGAATTCCCCTTTGGTAAGACAGACGTTTTATAAATCATCTCAATGTCTTGATGTTTGACAAATTTCCAAATCTATAGCCATAGAGCTTTCTCGTAGTAAAGAAATGGCAGCATGTCTCATCTCTTGCCCCCAGCTTCCCTCCCTACAGCCAAAAACTCCTTGATATTGGACCACAGTAGAAGGAAAAGATAGAACCAGTAAGCAAAAAAGACCTCTGAACCTTTTACCTGTAGTTTGGTAAAAAGGATGCCCTTCCAGGTGAGATCAGCAAAGGTAGTGGCCCTGGTTCCAGCTCTGTTGCCAAATCATAAACCCTTAGTTCTTCTAGATCTTAATTTTCTCATCAGAAAAATTAAAAGGATAGACCAATTTATGTCCAAGACACTTTTCTCCTATTCTGAATGTTGCTCAGATACTGTAGAGTTTTGGGGGGAAGGGAAGATGCCATCACTGGGTCACTGCATAATAAAGCTGGACGACGAGACCAAGCAGATGAAGTGAGGGTGGACTTGCAGTCAGGGAAAAGTGAGAAAGCACGTTTGGGAAGTGGGGGTGAGTCTACCTGAAAATCAAGCCAGAGAGGGCCACAGCCTGGCCAGCCTCCTATTCCATTCTAAGGTCCTTAGATCATGTACTATATTTTATAGGGACCCTCAGATATTATAAGAACCCTGGAGGAATGGCAAGGCATTGGGTTTTTCCCCATATAACAAATTTTTGCAAAATTTAGGACTTTTAAACAATAAACAGTTATTATATCTCAGAGTTGCTGTGGGTCATGAATTTGGGAGCAGCCTAGCTGGATAGTTTTTGCTCAGGGTCCCTTACAAGTTTGCGGTCCAGATATTGGTCAGGTCTGTAGTCATCTGAAGGCCTGATGAGAGCTAGGGAGTCTACTTCCAATCTCCCTTTGTTGGCTGTTGGGCATAGATGTTTGTTTCTTGCTGTCTGTTGGCTGGAGGCCTCAGTCCCTTCGCTTATGGGCCTTCCCACTGTGATGCTTGAGTATTCTTACACCATGGCTGCTGTTCTAAGAATAAGAGAGACTGAGGCAGAAACCATAATGGCTTGTGTAACCCAGCCTCAGAAGTCACTAATGATCCCTGCTGACATACTCTATTGGTCTCGCAGACCAACCTGATATGAGAGGGGACGGGATCATTGGGAACTATCTTGAAGGTTGGCTACCACAGCATTTAATACTGGAAATGCAAACACAAATTACCCAATAGTTTTTTAAAGTTAAGAATTAGATATTGACAACTTATTTAATTCCATTATTGAAAATTACATACCTATTATGGCTGTTTATTTTGAATATTTATTTATTTATTTATTTATACTTTATTTATTTATTTGACAGAGAGAGACACAGCGAGAGAGGGAACACAAGCAGGGGGAGTGGGAGAGGGAGAAGCAGGCCTCCTGCCAAGCAGGGAGCCCGATGCGGGACTCGATCCCAAGACCCTGGGATCATGACCTGAGCCGAAGGCAGACGCTTAACGACAGAGCCACCCAGGCGTCCCTTGAATATTTTTTTAAATAAAGAATTCACTCCATTTATTATAGGACTGGAGCCCAGAGTTGCAACCAGATGGGATATTCAAAAATATGCCAGAGAGGCCTACAATCTGGGGATCAGGTACATTGGCGGGTGCTGTGGATTTGAGGCCTACCACATCAGGGCAATTGCAGAGGAGCTGGCCCCCGAAAGGGGCTTTTTGCCCCCAGCTTCGGAAAAGCATGGCAGCTGGGGAAGTGGTTTGGACATGCACACCAAACCGTGGATTAGAGCAAGGTGAGAACTTTTCAACTATATTTGCCAAACCAAATCATTTCAATTGTGAATATGTTCAAGTGATGTTATAACAAAGAATATAGCTAATTTGCTGTGTGATGATACTCAGTTATTCCCCTTAAATTCTTTCACAGAAAAAAAAAATTCTTTCACAGAGGTATTTACAGAATAACCTTAGGTAGTGATTTCTGGAGAAGGCTTTAAGATTTAGCATATAAATAATGCAAGTTGCAATGAAATGTGATTTCATGCTCTGGGATAGTACCATGTGGTGGACCCTCAACAACATTGAATTAACTGGTTGTTAAGATTTAAGTATAAGCTACATAAAACAAATATTAACTAAGTGCCTGTTCCGTGCCAAGCACAATTCTTGGAGCTGGGAAGACAGTGGTGAATAAGATAGGTCTTTGCCCTCAGCACTTACACTCCAGTGGGGAAGATGAACAATAAACAAACTGATTTTATATCAGGCAATGTGCAGAGCACTGGGAAAATAAATGAAGAGCTGTCCAGAGAATCGCAGAGTCTACTGGGGAAAACGGATAAGAAAGTCAATGGATTACACTGTAGTAACTGCTTTGGTAGAGGCGCAGATTTAAAAAGTAACAAGAGAATGGCTATCTCTGCCTAACAGAAAGATACTTTTTTTTATTTATTTGAGAGAGAGAACATGAGAGAGGGGAGGGTCAGAGGGAGAAGCAGACTCCCCGCCGAGCAGGGAGCCCGACGCGGGGCTCGATCCCGGGACTCCGGGACCAGGACCCGAGCCGAAGGCAGACGCTCAGCCAACCGAGCCACCCAGACGTCCCCAGAAAGATGTTTTAGAAGAAGGGATTTGGGGGGCTGTATTTTGAAGGGCTAACTAGCCACGAGATAAAGCAGGGGCTGAATGAAGGATGAACACCCAAGCAGGGGGAGTAGGTGCCCTCTGTTCAGCACATTGACTCTGCACAACTCTATCAGACACTGTTGCGGATGCTGAGGTAGCAAGAACAAGGCACAGCCCTGGCCCCAAGGAGGTAACGGTCTAGTAGGCAGAGAGATAAACAGGTAAGTTCAAACTGGCATAGTAAGTTCAAGTATGAAGACATGCACAGGTGCTGTGGGGCCTGAGCTAATGCCCACGGGGGCAAAAGGCAGAGGAGGGTTAACGAAGAATTTCTAAGAGAGCGGATGCCTGGGCTGAATTTTGAAGGACGAGTTACATACCAGACAAGGGAAGAGCCTACATGAGAGCTCTGAGAGGTGGAAAGAGAATGGTGTACTGAGAAACCAGAAGTGTGGGACTATCAGAGACAGAATTTGATAGCAGACACACCTCAGGACTGGGAGGCGGACTTTTATGTGTTCTCATGAGTTATGTATGACCTTATCACACGGGAGGATCTCAAGCGGTCCCAGGTTAGGTTTGCAAGTTTGAATAGCCTTGAGACAGAGAAAACTGTGAGGAAGCCTTTGCTAGAATTGTATCGGATGTGATGAGGCCTGAACTGGGAGACAGTGAAATAGAAAGGAGGAGGAGGCTGGATCTGCAGGGTGAGACATGCAGAAGTGATGCGGGGTTTGAGGAGCTCAGCTGCCTCGTGAGGTAGAGTGCCAGAAAGTTAGGATGGGGGAGTAGGGTAAAGTCGACAGAGAATGTCCCTATCCTGAATTCTTAGCTTTTGATCCCTATGCAGATATTTTAAAAAATAATTTTGGGAACGCCTGCGTGGCACAGTCGGTTAAGCATCCAACTCTTGGTTTCAGCTCAGATCGTGATCTCAGGGTGGTGAGATCTAGGCCCACATCAGGCTCTGTGCTCAGCATGGAGTCTGCTTGAGATTCTCTCTCCCTCTCCCTCTGCCCCTCCCGCTCGTGCTCTCTCTCTCTCTCTCTAAAATAAATACATAAAATAATTAAAAATAAAAATTAAATAAAAAATAATAATTTCAAAGTAATTTTAGACCGATAGATCCTGAAAAAAAGTTTTAGTCCAGATTAATAAATGTGTTTTAATGGACATACTCTCAAGAGTCCAAAGACAGCTCTGTAGAGGTATTCTAGCCCAGTGACACATAGACACTGATACTCAGGAAGGAGTCTAATGCTGTGTGTTTTGTTCACCCAGGGCCAGGAAGGAATACTGGGAGAATCTTCGGATAGCCTCGGGCAGGCCATACAACCCTTCAATGTCAAAGCCTGACGCCTGGGGAGTGACCAAAGGAACAGCTGCGCTGATGCAGCAGAAAGAAGCCACAACTGAGCAGCAGCTGAAAGAGCTCTTTGAAAAACAGAAATTTAAATCTGCACAGTAGCCTCAAAGGAACCCATTTTTAGTGACTTCTATGTTTGGGCCACAGTTCCCCAAAATAAGGAAAAGATGGTTTAAAAGTAATGCTTATGTTAATGCCAGGCTACATATAAAATTGGTAGTAGCTAAACAAAACAGAACTACAAATAGCACTTGACAATTTTAAAAGTATATTTTAGAAATTTACTTAGAAGCAAAATAAGTAAGAAGTAAATCTTAAACAGGTTCCCTATACCACACATAAGGTATTAGGGAAATCACTGCGGCCAATGAGAAGTAATTCAGATATTCATTCCCACTTTAGTTAGTTGCAGGTTAGCAAGGAGGATGAGATGTGAGCTGACATGACTGAGACAGATAAAGTGCTATAGGGAAGTGACTTCCAAGTTCTATTGAACATGACCCTTAGTAAGAAACAAAAGTCATGTAATAACCCAATAAAACACATACCATATAACCACTGAAATAAAATGTGAGCCATTTTGGTATTTTCTATTCCATTCCTTTCCATCCTATCTCACTGATAAAACATGCCTGCTGAGACCCTTCAAATTGATTTTATGACCCAACAGTTTGAAAAACACTATCATGGAACACTTCAGATATGGGCACTTTGCTATTTCTTTAAGTTTGTTCTTAGAAAGTCAATCGTATGAGACATCATCAGTAAGTATCAAAAGACCAGAGTCATCCTCTCAGAGTTCAAGAGTTGTTCTCTCTTACCTGACCCATTACTATCACTAAGAAACATACAGACCAGTGGGGAGGGGAAAGAAGACATCAGTATCTAGGCTTTCTCCATCCCGCCCAAAACTGGATCCACCTAAAAGCTTTCAGTCAGTAAGGCCAAGGAACAATGAGCTTGTGTTACCTTGGTAGCTTAAAAAAAAAAAAAAAAGTATAATAAAGAAAAAAATAGGGATTCTCCAAACTCTATCCAAGTTTCCTAGATTGAGAACTATGATATTTTTACCTGATAACGTCTACTCTCCAATGAGAGCTCAAGCCCCAAGATGATATTAACATACACATGGCTACTCTATTAAGAGTTCATGATGCTGGGGTGCCTGGGTGGCTCAGTCGTTAAGCTTCTGCCTTTGGCTCGGGTCATGATCACGGGATCCTGGGACCAAGCCCCGCATCAGGCTCCCTGCTCGCGGGAAGCCTGCTTCTCCCTCTCCCACTCCCCCTGCTTATGTTGCCTCTCTCGCTGTGTCTCTCTCTGTCAAATAAATAAAATCTTAAAAAAAAAAAGTTCATGATGCTTTCTACTCATTCTTTGTTTAGCTGTTTCAAAACTAATTTATTCAGCTATTTGTATTTGATTCTTATTTCCATTGTGTAATTTACTTAAGTTTTACATGAAATTTCTGTGCCTCAGTTTATTCATCTCAACCTTCCTACTTCGCAAGTATTTGAGTTTTAAAGGAGAAGGCAGCAGTATTTAAGGGGAAAGCTATTTCTAGAATTTTCTTACCAAGATAATTAGTAATCCACCCCTCATCCTCCAGTGCACAGAAATAGAGCCAAAGCGGCATGGCTTTCAGAGGCTGCATGTGGCTGAGGAGCAATAAAAGGAGAGTAAATGCTATTTTTTCTTTTTTTTACAAAGTTGCTACCTACCATTTCTCTCAAATCAGTTTCAATATTTCATATTTCATTCATAGATGATAGAAACTTTTATTCAACTTACTGTTCTATTACTATGTAAGATGGATGCCCGTTTAATACTCTTTTCAGAACTTTATTGCCACACAAAACATGATATCTTTCTACCATTCTCATGTCCTTTGATTTAATCATTCTTATATCCTTCTATTTAAAAAATATTTCCCTCAAGGGGCACCTGGGTGGCTCAGTTGTTAAGCCTCTGCCTTCGGCTCAGGTCATGATCCCAGGGTCCTGGGATCAAGTCCCGCATCGGGCTCCCTGCTCTGCGGGGAGCCTGCTTCTCCCTCTCCCACTCCCCTTGCTTGTGTTCTCTCTCTCGCTGTCTCTGTCAAATAAATAAATAAAATCTTAAAAAAAAAAAAAATTCCCTCAAAAGACCTATATTGGGGCGCCTGGGTGGCTCAGTTGGTTAAGCGACTGCCTTCGGCTCAGGTCATGATCCTGGAGTCCCTGAATCGAGTCCCGCATCAGGCTCCCTGCTCGGCAGGGAGCCTGCTTCTCCCTCTGAACCTCCCCCCTCTCATGTGCTCTCTGTCTCTCTCATTCTCTGTCTCAAAAAAAAAAAAAAAAAAAAAAAAAAAAAAATCTTAAAAAAAAAAAAGACCTATATTGGATATGCTTTTCTAAAACTGTATGACAACACTGCCTCCTAGCGGCAGATTTTCTATTTTGAAAATTTTTTTGAAATTCAACCATTCCACCAAGTGCATATGTTTTATTTCCCGAAATCTTGTTCGATAAAAGTCTTTTTTTAATACCTAGGGGTTTCTTCAAGTTAATTTCTCACAGGTAAAGGTATTTTTATAGAATCAGCCAAAGGGACCCTAGAGATCAGGAGTCCAAACTCTCCCATTTAAGGGTAAGATTCCTAAGACAGGATGCCAAATCAGAAAGGGCTTCTTACTAGTCCCAGACTGCCAAGAAAGATGGTTTTAGTTTGGACTGTTGGTAGAAGGACAATGGAACCGGGACATATAGTTCACAAAACTAAGGAGTTCATCCTCCCAGCCAGGAAATAAAAATCTTTGCATTACTCAGAGTCAGTGTAAACTCACTAAACACATGGTGTGCAGTTTATGGCCCTGCGCTTCTTTACACTGTAGCAAAGCCAAAAGCCTTTCCGAAAAAAGCCATGGGAATACAAACCCACAATGGAGACAGAACCGGACAGGAAGGAACCAAAGTTTCAGTTTCTAATTTCTCCAGAGGGGGGCAGCAGGTCACCGGTGGGGAAAGCCTGAGGAGCTCTATTTTGCTTTGACGTTAAGCTATTTCATCAGAAGAAGCTAACATCAAATGGCAGAAATATCTGTAGCCCTCCTTTCTGTTTTGGTCAGTTTTTTCCTAAGATACATGGATCTTTGAATCCCATCCAGAACAACTCACCCAGCAAAGAAAGCCTTATATGTGCCCATTTTCGCCAGAGATCTATCCTTTTTCCCCAGCTTTGAACACAGCTTAGCTGAGAGCATTACACAGACTGTTTTCCCAAATAGCCTCCTGTCAGTGGATAACATCCCCTTGCCCAGTGTGGAGCCTTTATGTGTTACCTGCCAGGTAGACAACCCTAATTCTTACACAATAAAGGAAGGAGAAGTCAGTCTGAAGAGAGAAAAACAGAAGATGCCTACCAACTGCTTCAGGAGTAATAGGTCTGACAGTTCGGCTAAACAACAGAGTTAGAGACAGCAAGGCCCGGCACTTCTAAACATCTTCAGGAAAAATTTAATGTTAGTGTGTGGACGGAAAACCTGATAGACAGCCAAATATGAAGACTTCTCACAGATGGTGGCAGGAAGGGGAGGGTCACTTGGTGAAAAGCGGCTGGGAGTGTGGGCAGGGAAAGGAGTAGATAGAAAATGCCTCCAGTTTTCCAGCAGCTAGAGGCATTCTGTTGGCCTTGGACAGATAGAAAAATCAAAGGGATGGAAAGGGAGAGACAGAGGGCATTATTCGTGCTGCTGTGAGCTACAGAAATAATGCCAATTTGAGTACAGCAAAACCAAACAGGTTAATTTACATGCCACTAAATCAAAGGCATGATCATTTTAACACACGGTTTGACTGACATATTCGTGGAAGTCCCTATGTAAATTTTTGCAAGGAGTTTTCAAGGGAAACATTAAGCTTATTTTTAACAAAAATCTATTTCTACTAAGATAATATTTTTAGTAGTCATCACTTACATGCAAACTGTTAATGTACCACTTATGAATTATTCCTCTTTATTCCTTCACACAAGTTCAGTGAGACCTCTACTCGGCCTCATTTTGTGGTTATTTGTTCCAATCTACTCCATGGCCTTGAAAGGAAAAAGCTGAGTATCTCCGAAAATAGTTCAAACTTTCCCCCCCCCCCCCCCGATTCATCCTGGCCATTCTTCCAATTATTCTGACTTAATGAGATTTTACTGTTCTTTGGAAAGGTTAATGTCTCAACATATGAATTTGCTTAGTGGAATTCAGCCGTTTCCCACAAACGCTAGTGTAATGTAGCAGAAAAAGCAATGAATAAATTTAGAATCAGGAATTTGGGGTACAAGGCTTGCTTGGCCCCTACTATAGTGTTACAACCACTGGATAAATCACATCGCTTCTCTGACCTTCAATTTTCTCATCCATATGATGACAAATCTCTAACACCTTGCTGAGAAAAACTCCACAATTTTCTGTTTCTAATTCGATGGTATAGATAAGCAATAGCCCCATCGTTGTGAACAAATATTTACTGAGCGCCACTTGGTGGTATGTTTCCAGCAGACTTAACTGTTAATTAATTATTCCCCTGACTACACAGACAGCAGACTAAAACAAATAACATTGTTCAGAGGGCAGGGAAAATGTTATTAGCCTAGACTCGGCCTGGCACTGGGAAATGAAAAATGTCATTCCTCTCCACAGGTACAGCTTCCTAGGGAGACTTGGGTCTGTGGTTTTTCATATTATGAACTGTTTCTGTTTTCAGGACTCGGAGTTCTTTGAAGGTTTGCGTATGCTATGGAAGTTCTATAAACCATCAAGCCAATAATTCTTGTCCAGAGTTTTTCATCTACCTACGAAGGGAGAGAACCGCCTTCTCACATTTTATTAAGGTGGTGGAGTTTGAGAAGCCTCAGAACTTCTTCCTTCTTCCATAAAGCCATTTTCAGAATCTTAATGGCTCCCAGATTTAGATCTCCAGACTGAACCATCTCCAAGAACATGTATTTGACATCGGTCTGACCATTAGACCCAAGTCAGTCCCTGACCTGGGCCCTGGACCTTGGGTCCTGAGCCCCTACCGGTGGTTGTCCAGGCAGGGTGTCCCAAAATGGACCTGTTCACCAGAGATGCCTTCCTCAAAATTTTCTAAGTCCTGTCTAGTGGCTAAGACCGGTCAGGGTCAGCTGAACCATCCAGGAGGGGTGTCCCAGGCCTGGACAGGTCAGCAGGGGACCTGGTCGCTATTTCTTCCCTTCTGGGTGCCCAATGACCCTCTATACCCCCTTCCCATGCCCCCCACTTCCACCTCACTCCTAGAGTCACCAAGTACCCCAAGGAGCTCTGGGACTCTGTTTGGCCCCAGTTCCAGCAGGGGCACCTGGGGATAGGATGGCTCCCACTGGCGGGTGCAGTGTTAATGTCCCGGAATCAAGTGAGATGAGCTGCCGAGTATAATGCTAACACGGATTTAGTATGAGTCATGTCAGACACAGGACAAGTTCAGGGCTCTGAGCCACCAAAGATCTCGTCAGCCCTTGACTTGAGTGGCCTACAGGGACCCCGCATTGGCTCTCAACTGTTGGGGTTCCCACCTCAGCGCTACCCCCAGGCCTCACCAGTCAAGACCAGCAGGGGTGGCAGTGAGAGTTCTCTGCCCTGTGCATCTTTCCCCAGACATCATCACTTCCTGCCCCACCAACAATACCGCCCCCACCCCACCCCATGTGTCAGGCCTCCTCCAGGGGTGGCTGTGCCTCTTCCTCTGAGGGGTTTCCAGACACTGTTCCATATTGTCAACAGGCCATTCGCATCAATGTCCTCTGGCCTCTTATGGATATGGAGCTGTCCTAGACTCCCAAGTTAGGCATGCCAGACGAGGGATGGACATTTCTTGAGTGAATGGAACCTTTTTTCCAGCGCTGCCTGATGCATGTGTGTTGAGGGCAGGAACACAGTCAGTCACATCCTAGGAAGGCACTGCTTATGGCCTAACGACATGGTTGGAAGATGTACTCCTCTACATTTACATAAATGTACAAATACATAAAAATATGTCCCAGAGCCCTCCACACCCTAGGGGCAGCCCACCTTGACTGTGGGGACAAGGTCCTATTCTTCCCTTGTCCACGTAAACTTGCCCCTGCCACTCCATCTTCCATCTTAGAGAATGGTAACTCCAATCTTCCAGTTGCTCAAGCCAAAATCT